CCTGGACACCATGATGCCCCTGGGTCAAGATGAGGCATCTCGGGATGGCGCTCCAAGATGAAGCTACGGCCTTGGGGCATAATGATGGACCCGGGTCAAGATGAGGGACCACAGAACAGTCCTCCAAGATGAAGCCATGGCCTTGGGGCACCATGATGGACCCGGGTCAAGATGAGGGACCACAGAACAGTCCTCCAAGATGAAGCCATGGCCTTGGGGCACCATGATGCACCTGGGTCAAGATGAGGGACCTCAGAACAGTCCTCCAAGACACAGCCATGGCCTTGGGGCACCATGATGGACCTGGGTCAAGATGAGGGACCACAGAACAGTCCTCCAAGATGAAGCCATGGCCTTGCGGCACCATGATGGACCCGGACCAAGATGAGGGACCTCAGAACAGTCCTCCAAGACACAGTCACGGCCTTGGGGCATAATGATGGACCCGGGTCAAGATGAGGGACCACAGAACAGTCCTCCAAGATGAAGCCATGGCCTTGGGGCACCATGATGCACCTGGGTCAAGACGAGGGATCTCGGGATGGTCCTCCAAGATGAAGCCATGGCCTTGGGGCACAACGATGGCCCCGGGTCAAGATGAAAGATGCAGCCATGGCCTTGGGGCATAATGATGGACCTCGGTCAAGATGAGGGACCACAGAACAGTCCTCCAAGACGCAGCCATGGCCTTGGGACACCATGATGGACCCGGGCCAAGACAAGGGATCCCAGGACGGTCCTTCAAGACAAAGCCATGACCCTGGGGCACAACGATGGACCTGGGCCAGGATGAAGATCCTGGTACACTCCTCCAAGATGAAGCCATGGCCCCTGGACACCATGATGCACCTGGGTCAAGATGAGGCATCTCGGGATGGTGCTCCAAGATGAAGCTACGGCCTTGGGGCATAATGATGGACCCGGGTCAAGATGAGGGACCACAGAACAGTCCTCCAAGATGAAGCCATGGCCTTGGGGCACCATGATGCACCTGGGTCAAGACGAGGGATCTCGGGATGGTCCTCCAAGATGAAGCCATGGCCTTGGGGCACACTGACGGACCCGGCCCACGCCGAGGCACCCCAGCCTGGTACGACGGTGGTCTCAGGCGAGGTGGGTGCGCTGGTGCTTGCTGAAAGCCGAGCTCCATCCGAAGGTCTTGCCGCACTGGGTGCAGCGGTAGGGCCGCTCGCCGGTGTGGGTGTGCCGGTGCTGCAGGAGGTTGGCGCTCTGCCGGAAGCTCTTGCCGCAGTCCCCGCAGCGGTAGGGCCGCTCGCCGGTGTGGGTGCGCCGGTGCTTGGCCAGGTGGGAGCTCTGGCAGAAGCTCTTGCCGG